TCTGTAGCGAGTAAGTATTAAAATAATAAGTAGGTATTAAAGTAATAAATTATTAAAAGTATTGATAAAAGCTGTATATTCAATAGGAAATAATGAGCCAGCCATTCAAAATAGTATACCACCGAACATTGAGGAAAAGCTTGAATCTTTAGCAAGTAAGTATTTTGTTTATCATTATTTTCTTAATAATATCAGAAATTGTACATAAGCCCACAATTTGCTTAGTCTTCTGCTTTTTTGGTGGGTTGGAGAGAAAAACAGAGATTTGGTACTAAATCAGTACATACGAGTACTATTTTTGCTATGCTATTGTGAGCTTATTGAAAATAGCTCAAAAATGTACTTCTTGCTCTATTATAATGTTTAATAAACAATATTTCATTCTAACTTTCTGAAAAAGAATATGTTTTTATCAGCAAATCCTATTTGCTAATTTTGTGTTCTCAACGTTTCAAGTTATTTTGAACAATTTGCCACTAAATTTTTCAATGTCAACGTTTTTATTGTATTAAAATATTAATCGTGAAGTTCATTTTATCAAGCAAAGATAAGCCCGAAAAGTCATTGAATCACTTGTCGACAATGTTGGAGAAAATTACACTTCATCGTCAAGAAATGATGGAAAATCTAACTGAAATTTGTATGTTTTCAGTTTCAGACGAAGAGGAGCAGCAAATGGCAGTGATACCATTGAAGAGTCTAAGCGAAATAGAGGAGTTTGAAAAAAGGTTGAAAAATTTGCTTTGGACCTGGTAAGAAATATATATATATATATATACGAGGTCTGTTCAAAAAGTACCCGGAATTTTCGTTTTTTCAAAAAAATATTTATTTATTCGTCTACATTAATGTGGTCCCCTTCAAAGTAGTCCCCCCCAGATATAATACACTTATGCCAGCGTTTTTTCCAATTTTCGAAGCACCCTTGATATTCACTTTTTGATATGTCCTTGAGCACTCTCAGCGATTTTCTTCAATCGAGGAAAACCGCCGTCCTTTCATGGGTCTCTTCAACTTTGGGAATAGGAAAAAGTCACACGGAGCCATATCTGGTGAATTTTTGCACTTTGCAACACTTTATTTCATTTTTTACGCAAAATTTAATACAAATTCTTTGACTTTTCAATTCTTCCATTGTAAAAATCGCCGAGCTCAGAAAAACACGTCGAACCTTAGCGACTACCACAGACAAAGTAAACAGTGAATATAGCTGAAAATTTCATCATACTTTAGGGGCATGTATACCAACACAATAAAAAAAAAATTTTGACAATCAGACACTCCAGACCCGCGAAATTTAATTATTAGTAATTCCGGGTACTTTTTGAACACACCTCGTATATACAAGGTGGCTGATATGTATTGCAACCAATTTCAGACCGCTATTATTTCTAAACCGCTCATCAGACAGATGACAGATTTATTCCAGTGATTGTTCATTTAATTGTTCACAAGCGTACAAAAGCATTTTGATCTATTGCATTCAGAAAAAAAATATTCGTGATGGAAGTCAAGCGTGATAGTGCGATTGCTTCATACTTGGCTGGAAAACCTTAAGTGGCTATATTTAGAGCCCTCCAGTATTTAAATGCAAACAAATATTTTGTTTCTCGTACCATATCTCGTAACCGTGATACATTCAGTGTTGCACCTCATCCAAAAAGTGGACGAAAAAAAACACTAACAACCCCAGAAATGATCGAAAAAGTATAGGCAAAAATCAATCGAAATTCGTGTCGCAGTGGTAAAAAAATGGCCCGTGAGCTGAACATATCGCAAAAACGGATGCAACACATATTAAAAAATGAGCTTGGACTAAAGCCATCGAAGTTCCAAAAAGTGCAAGAGTTCATCGATGCACAAAAAAAAGTTAGACGGGAAGGAGTCAAGGGGTTGCTTCGCTTGCACGAAAGTGGCTAGTTACCGAATTTGGTTTTCTCATATGGAAAGTCCTTCCAAATCGAGCAGTTTGTGAACAAACAAAATAATAGGGTTTACTTGCCAAAAAGGTCAGCTAAAAATTTACACCTTCGATTGGTCACCAGAACTCAAGCGCCGCCGACGGTAATGGTGTGAACCATCATAACGGCCGATGGTGACATTCCACTCTTATTCATCATCCGTGGGATCAAAATAATTGCCGAAATTATCGGGAAAATGTCTTAAAGGCAGTATTGAAGTCCTGGGTAGACAAAAATTTCGATCGCAGACCATGGACATTCCAACAGGACTCAGCACCATCAAACTCAGCACGCGCCTACCAAAAATGGCTTATAAAAGAGGTTTTTTTCTTCATTTCCATCGCACAATAGCCACCAAAATCTCTGGATCTAAATTCGCTGGACTTTTGTGTCATGGACATTTTGAAGAGTAAGGTTCGCACTAAAAAATACCAAAGTGTCGATCATCCCAAGAAGGCGCTTTGCCGGGAATGGGCCAAAATACCCCAGAGCCACTTTCGTGCAGCGTGTTATGGTTTTTCTGCCGTTTGAAGCCCATAATTCGTGCCAAAGGTGGCCGATTAGAACAAATATAAACTGATTCTAAAATTTGATGTTATTTTTGACATTTTTGCTTTTAAACAATGAAATTTAAAATGAAAATGACAAAGTTATAGCGCTTTACTTTGTTGCAATACATATCAGCCACCCTGTATATATACATATATATATATATATATATATATTATATTTGTTATATATAACAATATCAATAAAATCTTTTACATAAAAGTTACTCGTCTGAAATACCAAAGTCAATTTATACATTCTGCTTGGACATTTTTTGAAGTTCATATCCCAATTTCAGCAAAAATGTGTAAAGTGTCAAACATTTGGTAACATACTTCTAAAGAATTTAAAATTATCTACAAATTTATCTAATAAAATTATTTTAAATTTTATATATCGAAAAAGATAATTACATCTAAACAACTATACACAGATTGTGCATTCAACTTGAACGGTTTCAAGTTTATACCAAAAACTGTAAAAAAAAAGTTTTATGAAGTCGAAAAATTATAATTTATCATTGAAATAATAATTTATATTATTTATATAATAAAAACAAATATATGCAAATGCACTTTAATTAATTAATATATTAATAATTTAGTATGAAATAATATTACAACGTAATTGGAACCACGTATTTCAGAAAATTAAATTTTGTATAGTCTGATTTCAAAATTGATGATATTGAATAGTCCAATGTACAAAACTTATGCAATTTAACCAGATAACTGCAATTGACGGATATACTCGTCACGAAGATGTGGCAGAATTTTTTGTATTGGCGAGTATAGTCGTCATACGAATAAAACTGTCACAATTTGCTATTTTAATTACATTTATTGAAAAGGGCTAAAAATATTATGAATGTTCATGTCCCTTAGAATATTCTGAGGCTATGACTGTACTAGGCTGCTGTTTTTTATATATATAAATAATTTAAATTATTATTTATAATAATTTATATTTATATAATTTATATATATATATATATATATATATATACAGGGTTTAACAACATACAAAGAGAAATGTATGAAAAAAATCCAGAACACAATTTTGAATTTTATTACTTTTATGTTACGAACACATTAACCATTTCAAAAACAAATGTTTTAAAAATTATTCATAAATAATTTTATAAAATTATATCTTAAATGAGGTAATTTATATAGAATATATTTTTGAAATTTTGGAAATTTTGCTTTTTATAATTTTTTATATTTTTTTATATATACCTTATCATATTTTTATAAAACTATTTTTTCAGGCAATTATCAGTCATAATAAAAACATCTTTTTTATAGATGATTAATAATACCAAATACTATGCTTAAAAGAATAATAATAAATAGTAATGAAGAATGTTTTCATTCTATTTGCAATCTCAAAAATACCAAGACAATGAAGACGCTTATGTCAAAGTTTTTTTTATTTAGTTAGTTTTCCCGCTACATCAGATTAATACATGGAAAACAGCCAAAACAGTTTTACAGAAATTTTCAATGCACATTTTGCCCAAAGATATTACATACTCCTGTTTCTTTGCAAAGGTACATCAAAACCTTCCATTGCTCAACTCCCAATATTTCTTTACAAGACTCCAATATCCACCGCACATTTTACAATAATTTTAGAATTAATCCTGAAACATATCTTGCACTTCATTGTTATGCTTTGCCTTATTCTCTAATTCCTTCCACAGACATTCTATCAAATGCTCTTCCTTCCTCACCTATTCCTTCTACATACGCCCACATTCTTACAAACGACCCCTACAAGACCCACACCAAATAATATTTTATCGCTGCACTCTCGGAAGGTGTTTACAAATATTGAATAAATGAATTGTTGCTTTTGCAGCACAAGCCATTAAAACCAGAAATGCAGTACAAAACTAAAATTAGAACCTATAAATCGAAAGCTAGAAAGGCAGGACCGCCTCCAGGTGGTTAGGGATGGAAACGTCACTCCACTGACGGCTAAAAGTCCTGCACAACACCCACAAACATAATATTTAAAATTTAAGAAATAATCAATTATCAAGCAGACGCTACATAGCAATGAGTGAAAGTTCGAGCTATATGGAATAAGAGTAAATAATGAATGAATGTCCCTATCTACTAACTCCGCCTGCAGACGTATCCTTGCGCGCTGCTGCCGGTCCTAAGCCCGAGTAAAGGAGGAAGGTTGTGGGGCGAGAACATCTTTGATCCCCACATAAAAGCGGCACATACCGCAAGCTCTAGGTCATGTCACTAGAGAACGGGGTCCTTGGCTTAATCGCCCGGGTCGAGGAAGGATCCTCTATAAAAAACACCCTCAACACTAAGGTAGGGCGCGCGCCGAAGGAGTGAATGGCTGTGAGGAAATACAGTTCTGACCGACCAACTCCGAGGCACCAGCCAACACCTCGACAGTAACAGGCTTGCCCAAGCACTGAGCGCTACCTGGGTCGACTGCTAATCTCCTATACTCGTGGGAACAATAATGAACACCCAAAAATCCAAAATTAAAACGGATAACTCGTTAACCAAAACGGCCGCTGGCCAAAAGGCAGAAGCCAAAAACCAAGAGAAAGTGCTGGAGAAGGGGGATACAACCCCTAAAGAGAAAGTAGTTAAGAAAGGCGATGAAACCCCTAAAGAGAAAGTGGTGGAGAAGGGGGACACAACCCCTAAAGAAAGCATAAGCAATCTATCCGCGGATAGTTTGAATAAAGTTAAAATTGAAAGAGAGAAACTTGAAAGTTTTCTTTTTAATGAGTCGAACAAAGTGTCCAAAGGCGTAATAAAGTTCATTCTCAAAAAATGGTCAAATTTGGAGCTAATGCTTCAAAAAGAAATTTTAGAGCACGAAAAAACAGAGGCCAAATATAACGAGAAAACTACCAACATGTCATATGCAAATGTGGCATCTAGAGCACCTAATAAACTCCCAACGCAAATAGTGCAACAACTAGCTGTAAGTGGAATTCTGTCTTAAGGCAATTAAGGCATCGTGCCTTAAGGCAAATTGCTGGAACTTCCCGTACCAAAAATTATTTTTTTTTTCAAAACGATTAACATTTTTGAAAAAAAAAATTACTTTGAAAAAATAAGATTTTTGAGAAACTATAAATTGGACAAAAAATTACTTTTTTTTGAAAAAAATTTTTTTTAAAAAAAAATTTTTTTTTAATTTTTTTTTTGTTTTTTTTTTTTGAAAAATTTTTTTTTTTATTTTGACATATTGTGGAAGATCTGAACTTTCTTTTCAAAGCAATCGTACTGCTGTAACTGCATAGGGACAAAATATAAAGCGCGTAAGCGCCGCGTCGCTGTCTAACGCATAAGCATTGGTACGGAACCCATAGGAATGTTAACAAAATGTATACTTACTGTTAAAATCTCTATAAAACATCTGATAATTTGATGAGCATATGTCTAATGATCATTTTTGACCGCCAAATGGCTCATTTTTTTACTTTTTCCTCCATATCTCCGAAACTGCTAGACCTACCTTAATGAAAATTTTATCGATTTTTCATCTTGTCAATACAAGTGAAATGTTTTTTGAATTATTCAAATCGGACGCTCCGTTCTCTCAAAAACTGAGTTACCGTTTTCGGCACTTTTTGCCCCGTATCTTCGGAACGGCTAGACCTGCCTTCGCCAAAAACTAATCAGCACGTCTCCTTATCAATACGAATCGAATGTTTTTTGAATTATTCAAATCGGTTGACCCGTGTTCCCAAAATCGTCGACGAAAATTTGTATCCGCACATACATACACACACATACATACATACACACACACACACACACACATACACACACACACACACACATACATCAATTTTTTCTAAGGTATGCCAAAATGTTCAGAAACCTCTGAAACGTAAAGATATATAAAAATTTTCATTTTCGATTTTTTTGCGATTACTATAACTTGCCCTACGGGAAGTTAATAAGTTTTTTAAGTTCACTAACGCAACGATATAAAAATGTAATTTTACACATATTAACGGATTAACGATTAACGTTAACTTGCGTTAATTCTTCCGAAATGTAACGCTTTAACGTTTAACGAAGTTAACTTTTTTTGTAGCGGATTAACGATTAACGAAGTTAACTATTTCATTAACGAAGTTAACTATTTGATTAACGGTGCCCAGCTATGTATATATATATATATATATATATATATATATATCTTGATACATTTCAAACAAGAATCCAAAAGTAATAAAAAACAAGAAAAGTTTTTTAATAAACAATTTCTTTATTTATTTATTTATTTACTGTCGACGTTTCGGAACTAGGTATGTTTCATCTTCAGGACATCTGTCAAGAAACATGATCTTGATGAGATTTAAGCAAACAATACGTTTACGAAAAGAAAATGGATTTTTCTTAAATAATAAATTAATTGCAAAAAATAATAATGCACAGAAATATGATAATCTGGCAAATAAATAAAGAAATTGTTTGTTAAAAAACTTTTCTTGTTTTTTATTACTTTTGGATTCTTGTTCGAAACTCTACAATATATATATATATATATATATATATATATATATATATATATATACTAGCTGACCCGGCAAACGTTGTTTTGCTAATAAGTGGGCGTCCATTAATCACGTGAGCGAGTTTTTGCGGATTCTTAGACCCCCCCTCCCCCTTGGTGATATTTGGTGATATTCAAAATTACCCCCCCCCTCCCCCACCAAACATCACGTGTATTTTTAGTTACGTGAAAAAACTGTAAAATTTTTGAGTTTTTTTTAAAATATTTGAACTTTTTTATAATAAATATTAAAAAAAAATTACACGTGATACCTTGCTATACCGCTCCCTCCCCCTCGTAATATTTCGTGATTTTTTGTCAACCCCCCCGTCCCCCTAAAAACCTCACGTGATTAATGGACGCCCCCTAATGTATATTCTAATCAATTTCTAGAGATATTCAGATATTCAGATATTCAGATATTCAGATATTCAGATATTCAGATATTCAGATATTCAGATATTCAAATACTTCGACATTCCGACATTCCGATACTCCGATATTCCGATAAAGCTAAATGTACAAAAAATGGCAGTTTTTGAGAGAACTAAGCGTCCGATTTGAATGATTCAAAGAACTTTCTGCTTGTTTTAACAAAATAATTGCTTTTGGAAAAAAAATTGTTATAATTTTTTGTTCAATTTTTTTTTTCTTGAAATTTTTAAGTTACGAAGTTTCAAGTAACATTCGATGAATTAACGAACAATTATCTGACTACGTTCAGTAAAATTGCCAGCTACTTCATCATTGTAGAAATGTATTTTTTTGATGTCTTTCAAAAATTCGTTATCTACACCTTTTTACCCTATAGGCGGGGTAACTTGAAACGGGCAGGTGGCAAAAAGGTTTAAATCCTTATTATAATTTTAAAGGTATTTTACAAAATAATTACATTTTTAACTAATGCTAAAAAACTACCAACGGAAGAAAATACTTTTATTATGGATTTTCAAAGATTACCGTTTATCTCCCCCATTACAAAGATTACCGTTTTCAAATCAAGGTTTAGCTATATATTTTTTATCTTACAAACTTTTTTCCTCTACTTTCAAATATTGTTGTTAAACAATGCTTAACTTTACTGATTTTTGACACATCGGTGGTGGACCTTTTTAATCCCGGACCTTAATATATTAATATCTATTCTGCGATAAATTCTGGGAAATTATAATTGGAAAAATGTTATTCGACAAAATGTCCATTTGATCGATATCAAATTTAGGTTCTGAATTTAAATAAGATAAATAAAAAATAATATAACCTAGAAAATGTTTTATAAATACCAATGAGTATATAATTATATAAATGAGATCTTTCAGAGCACCGTGTTTGAGAAAAATATGCCAAAAAGTGCATTTTCATATTAACATATCAAAAAACTTTATATTTTGAGTCTCTAGTAACACTTGCGGCTCGTTTACTAACGTTTTTGTATATAAATAAAACTACAAGCAAAACTACTTACTACAAATTTATCATAAATAAATAATATTCGCGTAAAACATCCTATTAAACGTAATTGAACATCATCTGTCAAAAGTGTTTGACATTTCACGAAATTGCCACCGTCCATTGTTTTATTTAAATTACGCTTCTACAAAAATTTTCAAATTAAAAATGTAAAGTTTCTACACGGATTTGAAATAATTTCTCACCTTTTGGACTTTCTCTGGATTGGCACGAATTTTTCAAGACTAAGACGGGCCAAATCGATTCAGCCGTTTTCGAGTTTTATTCGGACATTTGAAAGAGAGCTCCATTTTTATATATAAGATATATATATTGAATGGTAGAATCTTGAATTTGTGTATATTTTGTAGAGTTTCGAACAAGAATCCAAAAATAATAAAAAATAAAAAAACAAGAAAAGTTTTTAATAAACAATTTCTTTATTTAATTATTTGTTTACTATCGACGTTTCGGAACTAGGTACGTTCCATCTTCAGGACATCTGTCAAGAAACATGATCTTGATGAGATTTGAGCAAACAATATGTTTAGGAAAAGAAAATAGATTTTTCTTAAATAATAAATTAATTGCAAAAAAATATAATAATGTACAGAACTATGATAATATGATCAAAATGAAAATGATAAAAATAAATGAGTGGATTATCAGAACAGGATATTAAACATAATTTTAAAAAAGACAAATCTCTTAGTAATTTTGATTTACAAAATCTAATTATTCGGCGAAAAATAACTCACAAATTCATTTTTTGTTAAAAATCTTGTTTAGTGAAAAAGTGCTAACATATTTTCAAACATACAGGTAATTAGTTCAACTTTGTCATTAACCTTTTCTTAAAAAAAATTTTCCATAACTTTCAAAAAAATTCTATTATGTTTAATATCCTGTTCTGATAAAACACTCATCTATTTTTATCATTTTCATTTTGATCATATTATCATAGTTCTCTACATTATTATATTTTTTTGCAATTAATTTATTATTTAAGAAAAATCTATTTTCTTTTCCTAAACATATTGTTTGCTCAAATCTCATCAAGATCATGTTTCTCATTTTTTAAACTGTATTAGCATTTTTTATAAATAGTTTACCTCGAGCAGCCGTACTGTTCGGATCAGTGCTTCAATAAAATAAAATAATATTTATCCAATCATAACAAAATTAGTGAGCAGTGTAATATAAAATTATACTCAATCCATCCAAAACTACACAGTAGTGAAACTAAGCCCCCCTTTTAGGGGGGCATGTAAATAAAAAGAAATAGTGCAGTGAATAAATAAAATAATAATACAGTGTAATCTCAGTGTTACTAAATAATCATGCAGAACAGCGAAGAAAATAGTTCAACTATTCCAATTGTACAATCAATTGAAATACTGAATGACACCTCCCAAACAAATAGTGCATACGCGCAAAACCATTTAATTAATCAACATAACAACATGAATTACCAATCACCTGAAACAGTTAATCACATGTTAAACACTTCGCAAACAGATAGTGCATACGTGCAAAACCATTTAATTAATCAACATAACAACATTAATTACCAATCACCCGAATCTGTTAATCACATGTTAAACACCTCGCAAACAAATAGTGCATACGTGCAAAATCATTTAATTAATCAACATAACAACACTAATTACCAATCACCCGAAACTGTTAACCACATGTTAAACACCTCGCAAACAAATAGTGCATACATGCAAAATCATTTAATTAATCAACATAACAACACTAATTACCAATCACCCGAAACTGTTAATCACATGTTAAACACCTCGCAAACAAATAGTGCATATGTGCAAAAACATTTAATTAATCAACATAACAACACTAATCACCAATCACCCGGAACTGTTAATCACATGGAAACAGAACAAATTAATCAAGCAGTAAGCTGGCAGACAATCAAAACTAACAAACGTCGAAAAACATCAACAGGCCATATCGAAAACGTCAGCATTATAAAACATCAAACCGGTTTAATGTTCTCGCAACAGGTAAACCGGCGACCCAAGCCGATAACACAATAGAAACACCAGGCCCTTCGACCTCGCAAGCTGATAACAGGAATACGGTTCAAAGGCCACCTCCCATTTTCGTCTATGACGTAGACGATATCGCTGACATGACAGGCGAAATCAACACAATAATAAACAGGGAGCAGTACACAACAAAATCATTGCACGACGATATAGTGAAAATAAACGTCGAAACACCCGAGCAATATAAATTGCTCATACAATTTTTTAAATCAAAACGCGTAGTGTATCATACCTACCAAATTAAACAAGAGAGAGCCTACAGAGTAGTTATAAAAAATATTCACCACACAACCGATACTAACGAAATTAAATCAGCGCTAGAAAAACTAAACTACAAAGTGAGAAACATTGTCAATATCTTGCAACACAAGACCAAATACCCATTAAACATGTTTTTCGTCGATTTGGAGCCTTCAGAGAATAACACCACAATTTATAAACTGAACAAAATTTTAAATCAAATTGTAACAGTGGAATCTCCTAGAAAAAGATTTGGTATTATACAGTGTACAAGGTGCCAATTATATGGACACTGTAAATTCTATTGCAACAGACCATTTGTCTGCGTCAAATGCGGCGGCGACCATGATACTTCAAAATGTAAAAAATTAAAAAGCACTCCAGCCACATGCGCTTTGTGCGGAGGCCCACACCCGGCAATCTATATAGAGGATGCACCAGCTACCGCACTATGTATAATACCTTACATAACAAAACTAGTGCCACACCAATACAAAACATTTCAAAACGTTTTCAAGAAATCAATACAAGACCACGATCAAATCATACTAATGTTTCGAACCACATGACTTATTCCTAAATTCTGAAAAATCAAAACAACGGCGGAAACAATGCAACAGAAATAGGATCAACACTACATGAATTTTTAAGTACATTCAAAGATATGTTCAAACAACTTATGGAGCAGAACAATATGATCCTCAACATGCTTACCTTACTAGCTAAAAAATGATTAACCTGTTACGCATTGCCGAATGGAATGCCAACGGTATTCTAAACCATCAAAATGAACTAAAAACTTTCCTACATCTACAAATGATCGATATTCTGTTAATAAGTGAAACTCACTTGACTGATTCTTTATTCTTCAGAATTGCGTCTTATAACTTTTATTTCACCAATCATCCAGACCAAACTGCTCACGCTGGTACAGGTATACTGATAAAATTTTCGATCGAGCACTACGAATTACTAAAATTTCAACATAACGAAATACAAGCAACCACCATAAAAGTTAAGGGTTTCACACATGCAACTGATTTAACAGTTTCTGCAATTTATTGTCCCCCTAGGTATAATCTTAAATGTGAAGATTATGAAAAATTTTTCAGAACCTTAGGTACAAAATTCATCGTGGGTGGAGACTTCAATTCTAAAAACACGCTCTGGGGATCAAGATTAACCACAAGAAAAGGTAAAGAATTAGCAGCACTAATCCAGAAAAACAATTACTCTTTTATGTCAACAGGAAGTCCTACATACTGGCCTACAGACAAACAAAAAACACCTGACCTGCTAGACCTTTTCATAACGAGTGGTATTTCGCCTAAATATATGACGATTGAAAATAACTTAGACCTCTCCTCGGATCATACACCAATAATCTTAACATTGAGTTCACGTATATTAAATAAGCAAATAAATAACAACCTATATAACTGTAAGACGGATTGGGATACATTTAAAACTGAAATTGATTCAAACATAAACCTCAAAATACGACTAAAAACTGCAGAGGATATTGACAATAGCCTAAATGCGTTCATAACTACATTGCAAGATGCATTTACAAAAGCTACCCCCACAAAACACGAACAAAATAAAACTAACTATGATATCCCCCTAGAAATAAAACGCCTAATAAAACAAAAACGTAAAACAAGGAAAAAATGGCAAAACACGCAAAATCCTAAGGATAAAACAATCTTTAACAACCTGACAAATTCCCTCAAAAAGAAACTAAAAGATCTAAGGGACAGTGAGATTACGCAATATATTTCAAACTTAAGCAGATACGACAAAACAATATGGAAACCCACGAAGTCCACTAGATATCAAACATTCCATAATTAATCACCTATAAGAATGGACAGCGCAAGCGAATGGGCAAAAAGCAACAAAGAGAAAGCGGCATTATTCGCGAACTATTTAAAAACTGTTTTTTTCTACTGCTGGTAACCAAACCGACCAAGAAGCTAACGACGCACTTATGATAGATAACAGAAATAAAAATGCGATAATAAAAACTACTCCCAAAGAAGTTAAAAAATATATAATGCTTATTAAAAACAAAAAAAGCGCTGGAGTGGATAAAATAAAAGGCAGGATGATCAAAGAACTGTCCAAGAAAAGCATAGTGCTCTTGACATACATATTTAATGCAATCCTTAGAACAACATATTGGCCAAAATGTTTTAAAATTTCTGAAATTATTATGACCCTGAAACCAGGGAAATCGCCTACTGAAGCTACATCGTACAGACCAATCAGCCTAATGCCAATACTTTCAAAAATAATGGAGAAAATAATCCTAAGCAGAATAAACGAAAAGCTTACAATAATTCCCGACCACCAGTTTGGTTTTAGACCTCAACACTCAACAATCCACCAAGGTCATAGGGTCATAAACGACATACATATGGCATTGCAGAATAAAAAATATTGCTCTGCCATATTTATTGACATCGAAAAAGCTTTTGACAAAGTTTGGCACCACGGTTTGATCTACAAAATAAACCAATGTCTTCCACAAGAACTGTCATCTTTACTGGAGTCCTACTTATCGAACAGATATTTCAGAGTCAGAGTGCAGAACGAATCATCTGATACAGAATCAATGAAAGCTGGTGTACCTCAGGGTAGTGTACTCAGACCAATCCTGTACCTAATCTACACTAACGACATTCCAACCGACCCCAAAATAACCCTTGGAACATTCGCAGATGACACCATGGTTTTATCATCACATGAAGACGTCACAAAAGCCTCGGAACAGCTGCAAAATTATATACACAAACTAGAGGAGTGGACTCACAAATGGAAAATCACTATTAACTCAACTAAGTCAGCCCACATCACCTTCACCAAAAGAAAAGGAGATTGCCCAAATATAAAAATCAACAATATAGAAATTCCAAAAAGCTACTCTGTAAAATACTTAGGACTTCACCTCGACAGAGGGCTCACATGGAGCACCCACATCAAGACAAAGCGTAAGCAAATAGACAAAAAATTTCGCGAACTTTACTGGTTAATTGGAAGAAGATCCAAGATGTCATATGAGAACAAGATTCTAATATATAAAGCCGTAATTGTACCAATATGGACGTACGGTATTGAGCTATGGGCATGTGCGGGCACGTCCAATATAAAAACAATTCAAAGAGCACAGTCAAAAATATTACGAGCTATAGTGAACGCGCTCTGGTATGTCTCCAATGAAACAATTCATCGAGACCTAAACATCAAATATATTCAGGAAGTCATCAAGGAGAGAAGTACGAAATATCATCAAAAGAGCGCATACCATCTAAACACTCTAATGATAGATCTACTGAAACAAGTACCAACGAGAAGATTAAAAAGAAAGTGGCCGCAAGATTTAATGAATTTACTATCAATATATTTATGTAAGGAAATTCCCCACTGGAGGAATTTCTAAAAACCCTGTACCCGTTAGCAAATAACCTCATTGAACCCAAGGTTCAGATTGGTTATAAGAAATAAATTAAAAAAAAAAAAAAAAAAAAAAAAATCATGTTTGTTGACAGATGTCCTGAAGATGGAACGTACCTAGTTCCGAAACGTCGACAGTAAACAAATAATTAAATAAAGAAATTGTTTATTAAAAACTTTTCTTGTGTTTTTATTTTTTATTATTTTTGGATTCTTGTTCGAAACTCTACAATATATATATATATATATATATATATATATATATTATGTTTTTAGGATTATTTCCCTAGTAGAAATGAATCGTGGCGCAATATTGTACTTTTTATGGGCTCTATATTGTTTACCAATATTGCTATAATATTATTCTGTTAACATTTTCCCATATAAATCCAATATTAAAATCAATAAAGGCCCCATATAAAACCAATATTGATAAACAATATTAAAATCCCATTCAAAACCAATATAAGCTCAATATTGAGAACCAATATAAGATTAATATAAATAAACAATATTTACCCTATATAAAAAACCAATATAAGCTCAATATAAATAAACAATATTTACCCCAAATTCATAATTATTATTTAACCCACATTTAAAAATATTATTTAATTTATATAGAAAAACAGTATTTAACTCATTGATAATAAAAGTTTATTTATTCTAAATGAATACATACATTTTTAAATAGTTTATGTATTGAATCTTGATATCTTTATTAACAATTTACACATTATTTTATGATAACAAGATACAAAACAATCAAAATATTTTCAGTCATTATAATAATTTAGAGGATTTTAATAATAAATCATAATCATAATTTTTGTTAATCCTATCGCCGTAATTGTACAAAGACCAAGCCATTCAAACAATTTGCAGACTTAATTATTATTTCGATGTTTTTTTTATTTTCACACATGTTTTAACATTTTCTTGAATTCGATCATGATTACACCTGAAATAAGATAAAATTTATTAATATTTTATAGCAATATTTTCGAAATATATTGATTTTATAAACTCATAAATTCAATTACTTAGCTTTTAGCAAAAAAAACATTTCAGGCATTATTTTGCAGTAAATATAATTGTAGTTTATCTAAAACTCATATTTTATAGAACTCTATCACAGTCAAATCTGAAATAATTAAAAATACAGTAAATAGAAAATTTTAACATTAATTTAAAACAGCACAATTATAGTTTTAAATTAAAACAAAAAAACTATTGTTGGAAATACGAATACCAAATATTCAAAAGCGATAATAAGTTATTGAAAAGTCTTCATTTAATAAGTTTGTTAATATTTTTATTACCTTTTACCAAATCCATTCTTGCTGTGTGATAGTTTTTATATTACAGCTGATTTTACATCCATTTCAATTTAGTCAATCTAGAATATATAAAATACATCATTGTTTACTAAATATGTATGTTGATTTATATAAGTAATAAATATACTTACGTGCTTTAAATATAAAACTCAAAATTATGTTATTTAACCGCTTAATTTTAATTATAAACTGTTCACAAAATAAGTTTTTAGCAAATTATTATATATTTGATATCATAGATCATTTTATTATTCACTAAATATTCACTCAAAATTCACGAACTAAGACTTACTATATTTTATGAATATTTTTTAATATTATAACAAATTCTAAATTCAACAAAAATTGCTAAACGCACTGCGTAACAAATTTCAGTCTACTGAAAATTACGAAACTCTGCTTGGCTTGCACTTTGTTTGATGGTGTAGGTGTAGCATTGTTAATCAAAGGGCGGTTTTTATGTTTTTGTATTTTATGTTACGAAGTATACGCTCATTAATTTGTCGTTATTAGTTTATTCAGTGTAGTAGTCATTAAAAAAAACTTTATATATAACAAAGTTTATATATAACTCTT